GTTGAAACCAAGATATAGTGGCCATTTGTTTCAGTGTTGAAGGATTCTGGGCCCTATGTATCCTCGATGGACATGGTACCATTCGTGTGAACGCAGCTCCTACTGCACTGCTATGGCATCGTTGGTGAATTTCCCATGGTGCTGAACTAGGTTACACGCGTGCGAGGCGCCCCATGGATCTTGGAACCACAAAATCGCTCGTTTTTTCCAGGGCATTTCGCGTTTTATGCGACTTGTGAGACAAATTTTATCCCTACTACAGGGTAAAGGGATTCTGTGCCGCGTATTTCTTGCCCTGCAAGGCCTCAGCGTGATCTGCTCTGGGGACTGTATGCTCCTGGAACACGAACGTTTCTATGGTTTGGGCATGGATGCTCTGGCATGCTCTGGTGATCGCATGCAATTAGCCATGCCACTTATGCTTTGGGCAGGAAAGCGGAAGCGCCTTGCGTGCGACAAGGTTTGCTCACCTAAATGCACATAAATCCTTAAAGAGCAGCCGAAACTCCAGGGCACCTGGCGCGTGTGCTACCTGCTAGTTCAACTTATATGCTTGTTGGATATGTTTCCAACCCGTAACGGCGCATGCTGCAGGCTGAGCTGCAACGCATCCTTGAGGACAAGTGCTTTAGAATTTCTCAGCTTAGCTGCCGCGTTCAATGTCCTATTGAGTCTACCCAGACCCGCTATTTGGAACCTATCCAGCAGCATCATTCTGCAGGAGTCCGCGCGAGATCTGCCCTCCAACATGCTTCTTGCTGCGGCCATGCCCCCAGAAACTTTCGCAGACATAGCAGCTGCCCAAGCACAAAGTAAGTGGAGCTCATGCCTGCCGCAGGTATCCGCAGGTCTCGGGATTTCATATTCAGGCAGATTGAGGCAGTCATGTGCTGGGGATATCCTCGGCCTTGCTTCAGACCCCCCCCGGCATGTTCCTGGAAAAGTATGAGAGTACGCAGGCTAAGAGGCTTGACTCGATGGCGCGCAGCATTTCTTGACCAAAACCACATGTGCAGGTGAAGTGAACACGTGGATAGCAAACACCAAGCAAATGCTCGCCCAGGAGACGTAGCAGCTGAGATGACGCTGTACCAGACAAAGTAGCGCATGTCTTTTAGCAATGCTGGTTCGCGACAGACGTGCAGAAGCCTATGTACAGTTCTGGCTGTCGCACGAGACTCAGCGATAAAGTCCTTGCAATGGACGGGAAATCCCAGATGAAAAAAACGCGCAGAGGCACGTATCCATCCCGATGTGTGCAGCAGGAGATGGAGCAAAAAAAGCGGGCAAAAGAGCGCAAGAGAGAGAGAGAGAGAGGGAGAGGATGGAGAGGAGCCATTTTGGCTCAAGCCATTTTGGCTCAAGGCAGGATGAGGAGGGAGAGAGAGAGAGAGAGCTCGCCAAGTAGGCCCCTGAGCGGAGAACCCTGAACTCGGGAAAGGGGATTACATTCGGAAGTTTTGTCCTTTGGGGGATACGAAGTCAGTGTAAGGCAGCCTGGGCTAGAACCTAAAGTGGTCGCTTGGAGGGATCTAAGGGGTGCTCCAAACTGTTCAGGAAGTTGCAGATAGGGAAGGAAGTAATACTTCAGAGAAATAGGAAAGCCATGGCCCGTCGCGGCACACCTCTAAATGATTCTAGATGAGGGAACCGGAAACATTCCTACATCGACAACTGGGAACAACAGCAATGGAGATCGAAAAGAGGAAGAAAGAAGTCTGCAGGTACTGCGATTCTGGAGGAAAGATCGAGAAGCCTCATACGTATAGGGAAGGATGCCGGAAGTACGTCCCGGGAGCCACAAAGCTGGAGATGGAGCACGCAGCGAGAGGAGGAGAAGTCGGCAGGAAAAAATTACTGGAGAGATTAGGAATCAGAGAAGACAGGCGAGCTCCAGTACAACGTGGACAAGACCAGAAAAGGAAGGAAAGGGATAAAGCCGAGGATCAGCGAACTCCAGTACTACGTGGACGAGATCAAAAAAGGAAGGAAAGGGAAAAAACAGAGGTAAAGGAACAAAACGAGGCAGCGAGGATGAGTTCTCCTATGACCAGACAAAAGAGGCCACCACTGAAGGTGGGAAACAAAAAGAAGTCGAGGGAAGCTGCGCCCCAAAGCCCTATGGAAGGGGAATCGAGCCCGGACATGGTGGATGTGATAATTGGCAAGGCAGAGGAAAGAAGACCGAGACAAGAAAAGCGAAAGGAGGAACGCACGACTACAGATTGGGAACACAGGAGTCTGCACCTCCAGTGCAAACAAGAGTCCCGCCTCCTGAGTCGGCAAGGGTTTCTGCAGAGCTGCTCAAACAACGCACCGAGGAAATCCGCCAACGCGAGCAGAGGATTGAGTAGCAAAATTGGGAGAGTGCAGCGAAAAAGTACCTCAAAACAAGAGAACAGCTGCAAGAAAGGGAAGAAGCCAGAGTCAAGGATGAAGTCAACAAGAAGGAGAAAGACAAAGACGACCGGGAAGTCGCAAAACCGAAAAAAGCGGAGGAAGAGAGGATGGCACAGCAGCCATTGACACCCCTGCAACCCAGGGAAGACTCGGAGCAATGTGCCCTACAACCTCCTACTTCCCAAGCCTGGCACAGGAACACCAGGCCAGCCGAGCCCAAGACCCCGAAGCAGCGAAAATGGGAAGAACCAGGACCACGACTGGAAGGAGAGCGAGCAAGCATCAGACTGGAACAGCTTGCGTATCTGGCTATGTGGATGAAAGAGGATGACGAAACAAGATTTTTCTGGGAAGGCACACAACCTGACCAGGATGCAGATGTCGCAAGGCTGGCAAGGGAGATGCAGAAGACGGACCAACAGCTGGGACAAGGCGCTACAGCGCAATGTATAGCTAGCAAGCTGACAGAGTGGGGATATGCAGAACCTCTGGGAGGAGCATCGCAAGAAGCAGCGCCTGAGACAACAGAAGGAGAAGCCCATCGCTATCAGTGGGGACGCCATAGCTGAGGCAAATCAGGAAAAATATTTCTGCGAGAGATTACCGTGACGACATCGTACATGACGCACCTTGTGGAATTACTGGATAGGGACAACGCACAATACTGAGACAGTGAGAATTTCAAGTTTTGAGAAAAGGGAGGGAAGTGAATTCGGCATGCCGCTGGGAATTCTCTACACAAGATGGAGGAAACCTGGCTTACTGAGACACGATCCAGCACGTAATTTGCACAGCCCAAGTCCAAGGGAAGAGGGGAGTATAGAGAGGGGTTTCCTACGGGAGTTTACCTGAGGACGAGGGAAGCAGGTAATTGGAAGGCCGAAGACGGCAACGCACAATTGACGCAGGAAATTTCAGCACGCACGAATTAGGAGAAGGGAATAGCGCGGAAGTAGTCTCTTGCGAATCAACAATGTTTCAAATGTATATAGAAGTCAGAGGCAAGCTCCGGGAAGGGCAGCCATGTAGGTGGTGGAAATTGGGATGCACTGATGAGCTGTGAGAAGCAGGGGAGAGTGATCGCTGTGTAGTTGAAGCGTAGGGTACGTTAAACAAACACTCTCCAACCTTACCTCGGCTCAGCTAGGAAGAAAGATTTTCCGTGCATTTAGGGGGAAGCTGCTCATTGTACAGGCCGGGCAACGCACATTTCCGAAGACTTGGGGAGGGGGGTGAAGAAGAAGCGAACAAAAAGTCTTCGGAAATGATCCTTGTGTTCTCCAACTGACCGACCGGGGAAGCAGTGCTTGGGGTTCGCCCCAGCGCGCCCCCTCCGGGACGCGCATAGCATATAGAAGATGAAGAAGAAGGATGGAGAGGATGTGAACAAAGGGCGTACCCCACCCTAATACAGCACGGTCGCATCAACAGGTGAAAGCGGGCAACCCTCACGATTTGTAAGTTACTCCTTTACTCCCCTTAATACTTTTTGTTTCGGGGCGCCTGCAGCCAGCGCCCATGGGGTTTGTACCAGTTAGGCAAGGCCCAACAGGCGGGGGAAGGTCCGCGGATGGGGCCCGGAGCCCTCTTCACAAATGAAAGAAAGAAAGGATGGAGAGGTATGCGCAGAGGATATGGACGGTGGGTAGCTTCGCAGCCAGGTTGAGCCGGGAGGAAGGCGAACGAGAAGCCATCACAAAGCCGTGGTGGGTAATTATCTGGAACTAGAGATGGCTATTCAGAATTACAATGCTCCTATACAATGCTCCTACCCCTTCATTACCGGTCTTCCTTGCCTGCAATCATTTTCAATGAGCCTCTCCCCTACTCAACCAGGTGGTGACACCTGCGAATGTTGTTCCTCCCCATTGTGTGGACAAATCCTGTGTAAGAACATTATACTTGATCTTTACACAGCAAACTTTCTCCCCTGCTCTTTGACAGTTGTTGTCGCGCTCTGTTCCCAGCGGCTGCTCTGCTGGCAGCTCATGGAGCCGGCTTCGGAAAAGGCACCCTTCGCAACACTTCGCAACAGGGCTTCTCTATAGCCCTCGGCCTCCTTGGTCGGACTAGTGGACGCGGCTACAGTTGCGGGCTTAGGGCTGTGCCCCAGCGCACCTCTCGGGGTGCGTAGGGCCCTGAAAGAAAGACAGAAGAAAGAATGTCCCCATAGATTTGGTGTGGGGAGTGGCTAGGTGAGGATTCAGCTTTATGATCCGCTGGACGACTGCGGGATTGAGGATGTGTGCAGATGTGTGCAGGCTCGAGGCGTTGCTTCGGGGACCTTTTTCGGGGCACCACCCTGGGGGAGGGCATCCGCTTTCCCTATAGCCCCGAAAGAAAGAACGAGCAAGCAGAGAGTGAGATGCAGATTTTGGATTGCTAGAGAATGCTAGAGATGAATCAGGTCTGCGGCACCAGTTTCCAAACAAAGCCGTTGTGCTCAAATCCTGCATATGTAGCCAGCATGGCTCGCCGCTAGAGTTGCAGGGAAGGTGTGGCTGCTGCCTCGCAGGCTGCATTGGCAACTATCACCTGCTTGCATTTCCGCATCTCACGATTTTTTGTGTGTGTAGGTCCGAGTTGAAGATCTCCAGATCATGAGCCGGACAATGCGGCCAATCGATATTCTGTGTGAGGAGGACATGCCTGCGTGCTGTTCACGCAGTCTTGACGTGCAAATGTATGCATGTTTGAGAACAGGAGCGTCTTCGAAGGCTTTCCGAGCGGATGGTTTATGACAGTAGCATCGTGGCAGACACTAATGACTGCAAAGCATGATGGTTTAGCAGCTCATTTCATAAGGCGATGGGGCTGAGCATGCTCGCCAGAGGCGGGCCCGCACCCTTGTGGAGGAGATGCGCCTCTTGGGGTCAAGGCTGCGGTCGAAGTCCAGTGAGGACCGACGATCCGTTGCTGTAAAAGCACTGGAAGCCGGATTGGAGGCCAAGCGACAGGAGGCCTTCAAGGAGATCACGGCCAGAGCAAACAATGAAGCGCAGCCGGTTTCTCCCCCAGTGACTTCCCCAGAAGCTGAGACCGATTTGCAATCAAAGCTCTCGGATGCGCTGGAGCGAGTGACAGTTCGGTCTGTAGTAGGGCTCAGAGGCATTGCAGAGGTTCCCAGACCTATTGAAGCTGTCGTCGTTGCCGTGCTGCAGCTGGTGAGCTGTGAGTATTCTGGTTTGGATTTGCATCCATCGCCTCCTACAACATGGGAAGAAGCTCGACGGATACTGCTGAAGCCCGGCCACTTTGTCAGTGCGTTGCGGAAGTTTCCATTTGCTCTGCAGCGTGGGCAGATACCCGATTGTGATATTGAGCAGGCACAGCAGACATGGGAGAATCTGCCAAGATCAGGTGCAGGCTTGTCTCAGGTTCACGAGGCAGCTCGAGACTTGCAGCCTTGACCAGCTATAGAACCCTTGTTTTTCCGGGCAAGGACAGTAAGGCGTAGCAAACAAGATGCCCCCTAGTTTGGTTTCGAAATGAGATACTTGTTTACATTGAGGTACGACTGGCTCACTTTTGCCTTAAACTTGGCAGCCTGTCGTCGAAAGAGAGCTCCAGAAAAGCCCGCTGATGCTCCACTGCCGAGTGTGAAAGCTGAGAATCTGACGACCTTCACAACAGCAGCCGACGCGTCCAGCATGTATCCTCGTTCTGCACCTGGCTCTCCAAAAGAAGTCCAGCCTGCGCTTGCAGCGCTTGCGCCGAGTTCGGAGCGGTCTTGCGACGCTTTACCAGTGGACACCCGATTTACGGGGTGCACAGCACCAGCGTCCAAGCCACAGAAAAGGCCAGGGGCTGTGTGGTCCTCCCTCTCAAAATCTGAGCCAGCTTGCCAGGTCGCCATCGCCCAGGCTGCCGAACAGGCCAGCTGGAGCTGCCATGGTGACAAGCGAGCGCCAGAAGCCAAGTCAAACATTTGCAACACCATTTCAAGCAAAACGTTCCAGAGCATACGTAAGGTGCTCCATTGAAGACCTCAACTTCCTCAACTGCTTCGGCGGCTTCGGTGAGCACCTCACCCGGCTCGTCCAGATCAACCTTCAGCGTGCTCGGGTCTCGGTTTGCAGCGTTTGCAGCCGTGTTGAACACTGCTGCCGGGCAGTGGCCAGTACATTTGCAGGTCCTGGTCTGGTCTTCCAACTTCGAAGCCGACACATAGCCGTTCCCAGCGAATTTCGGCCACAGGCAGGCCATGAGTGCATGCTCCGCAATTTTTCGCCAGCATTCGCCAGCAGTGAAGTAATGAGAGGTGTCAGCCCACGACGCGGCAGCCCATCCCCAACACCAGGATGGGCGGCACCAAAGCCAGCTTCTGCACGGCTTGTGACCTGGCGGATTCGGAGCACAGGTCATGCAGCAAGATCGGCCAGCACTTGTAAGAAGCATACAGAACACTACCGAAGCTCGAGGCCAGAGGTTACACGGGTCAGCACAAACTTGAGGCACAAGCAGGGCAGAAAGAAGAAGCTGGGAGCTGCCAAAACGTGGGAATGTGATGTTTGTGGAGGCACAAGGCTGCATAGATCACCACTCGCACAACGCAGCTGCTGCACGGACACAATGTCAAAAAGACGTCTTGGAGATAGCAAGAACCTAGAGATCCTGGCCTGTGTCTGGGAGATATCATTACAACAAAAGAATCATGAAGCATCATAATTTACTGTTGCCTGTCGGCGGCCACGGGCCGTGCAATGCTGAAAGGCAGCGGTGCTTTCTTGCGGGATCTTGCGGGGAAGAAGGGTGGATGATCTGATCTGGCGGTGTCCGCCGCCGCGTGGCAGCGTTCACCGGAGGTGCAACTGCCGTTGGGGCACGTGCAGATAACCAGCAGCAGCCGCAAGCATGAAGTTGATCCAAACTCAAGAAGGATGGCAAGCTTATCCTCAAAATCAGCGCAAATTGGCTCAACTGCATTGATCTGGGCCTCTCTGCTGCACGTGCCACTCACGCCTCTGTAGCTGGCCTGTTTTTCTTGCAGCTCTTGATTGATGTGAAACATCAATCCTGGAATCCGTCCATTACCCTTATTGTTCTCCTTTTGCAGGTCTTGCAGTACAGCCCATGCCACACATGTTATCGCCCTGATTATTTGTGAGGTCTTGCTTGGTCAGGACTGTCATTGTTGAATATTGTTGATGTTTCCTCAAGGACCTCAGGATGCCATTGAAATGTCTCAGGACCTAGATGCCCAAGATGCCATCAGCTGACAGAAGAGTAGACCTTGCCAAGGCCTCACCGCCCACATGGCCTGAGCATGCCTGCGCCAAGCCTCGGCATCTCTCCATCAGTCATCATCTGTCATCATGGCCTTAGCGGCTTAGTGATCCCGTCCGCCTTCGCGTTTCGAAGCTTGGAGCTGAGCCTCCGCTGAGGCGAAGGGAGTGCTTATCATGCGAAGGCACGCGCACAGAGTCCACCTGAGGGTTGTGCTAAAACCTTTGCATACCCTCGCTTGGCCGAGTTCGTATCATGAGTTCCCACTTGCGAAAGGTCCGCGAAAGGTCTTGCCGTAGGGGTTATCTGAACGGTCATCTTGAATTGCTGAGATAAGCCAAGCCCTGAAGGAGCCCGCGTATGAATCACACAGACGAAAACACCGATATGGCAAAACATTGTTCCACCTGGCGTGCTAAAGACACGTCGAAAAGTGGGCTGTTCTGGAGAAGGAATTCAGAACATGGATCGTGAATTGCTGCGATTGCTCACACTACCCAAGTGCGGTAGGTGCCCCCAATCAGGCTACGTCCAGTGCAAAGTCTCCTGCACCGCGCACGAGGATTCTTGGAGTGGATCCAGGGACATGTGACACTGCGTTCAACCTTCGATGCATAGAAGTGGCTGCGCCCTGAAAGCTGGAGCTGAGGGCATCCGGTCGTGGGTCGACATCACCGCAGCCAAAACCCAAATCAAAGGAGGAGGGAGAGGCAGTTGGGAAGCTCCAGCTTTGGTCCCACGCATGCCTTACTAGGTAATGCCAGATCATACTTGCGTCTCATGGCGTCCACTGATGACGTGGAATTGATTCTTTCCATCTCCTACTTGATACTTGAATTGCCGCATCTGCTGCCGAAGGGTTGGTGAACAGTTGGCTAGTCAGCTTGTCAGGCTGGGCAGTCGCGCGCGTTACGACAGGTGGCCCCATTGAGCAGCAGCTGCTTGCTCAGCAGCGATCCGTGCCCGGCAGCAGTCCATAATTCTTTCATTGCGGGGTACCGCAGCTGAGGCAACTCCTCACTCACCTCAGCAACAGCTGGGTTGCCGACTGCAGAAGATTTCGCAGCCATGCGGGTTCGCTTGGACCAGGAGAAGAAAGAGGTGCCTTGCCCGTGCTTGTCAAGCGCCGCTGTAAAAGGGTGTTCTGATAAATCAACCCCCCGCCAGCAAGTAGAGATTCTAAATGGTCCGAGGACCCCCAGTCAATTATCTGTCCATTGCCGGGATCCATGCCTGACCTCACCATCCCGCCCAGGCGAAAAAAGTTCGCTCTATTCCGTACCCACTTCTATTCTTGGATTCAGCCAAACGGTCGCTCTATTCCAAACCCATCTATTAATCAGTACCCAACTTTAACAATGCAGCAATGCCCATGTCTGCCTGACAGGTTCGGCAGATCAAGTCGCTGGAGTCGCAGCTGAAGTGGGGCTTGCAGCGCGAGGAGCGACGGCAGACCGAGGAAGAACGCAGGGAGGAGGCATGGGCCTCGCTTGCATAGCTCGTATTAGAATACAATACAAAGCTTGCAATGTCGCAGGCGCGGCAAATCATGGAGTGGAGAGACCGACAGGCAAAGGAAATGCCGCTCGGACAGTGCCATTTTGTTGCTTCCGCTGCTTGAGGCAGGCAAAGGAACTGTGCTTCGACCGGTTGTGTCACGGTCGAAGACTGCAGCTTAATGAGCTTGGTTCCGGCCAAATTTGGAAATTCCGGTTCAAAGCCATGGCTGGGGATTGCGAACCTTTGCCCGTCCTTCCTTCCAAGGGCAAGTCGTCACTATTTGGACCCCAGCCTGCAAAATGGCCGGCTCGCACCGGCCTCTTGCCATCCTGCGCATTCTTGCCTGTTGGAATCTGACCTTTTTCGTGTGGCAAGAAAAACACATTCCCGGCAAGTCTTGTCACATGCCAGTGCTTGCACGGTTCGGGATCAATCACCTAACCATGCCTGACTCAACATGCAAAACAAATCCCCTGTAGTGGTGGGGCAGTACTTGATGAGGAAGCACATGTTAAAGCTTCCCGCGCTGACCAACATGCGGTTCGCTTTGGGAAAGCTTGAGTTGTTAAAAACATGAACGAGATCTAGCCCGCTTCGTCTGCCTGGCCTGTCTCGCATTTTTCCTCAGAACCCTCAGTCCCTACACAATGTCACAGAGCCCTGATACGAAGAGGGACGTTCAATCCACTCGGTTGCCATACATTTTTCGAATTCTGCGTTTGGATTGTTTGATTTGATTAAGGTCTTGGGTTTGCTTGGCTTGTGTGTGTGTGTGTGTGTGTGTGTGTGGGTGTGTGTGTGTGTGTGTTTCAGGGTGCTTATTTTTTGGATCCAAGACAAAAAAACCTTCAAACCTGCTCCACAAGTGGAATCCGGCCCCTGAAGCATCGCAAGTAGACTTGAATCCGGAATTTATGACTTTGTGTGCGTAGTCCGAATTAGCAGGCTTGCTTGAGAGTCTGTTCTTCCAAGCCAGGTCCACTAGCAGTCGCTAGCAGCAGGCTGCAGCAAGGCGTACCTATGCGGTGCTAAGCTGCCAGGGCGAAAGCTTGTAAGGGCATAGCAATATGATCCCAGATCAGAGCTGCAGATCGCAGAGTTGTTTCAGGAAAGAATACGTGGAGGAGAAGAGCCGGGACCAGCGCGTCCAGGAGCTTCTGGAGTCCAAGGCCTGGGCCTTTGCCGCAGATGCCAAAGCCATAGCATGCCATGAGCCAAGCCGCCTTCGCAGGAGTACCAGGTGTTCAAGCGCGGGTGGAAACAAGCCATGCGGAAAGAGGAAATAGAGCGCATCAAGGACCGGTGAAGTGGGTGATGCTTCGTGCTGACTTTGCATCTGAGCTCATAGGAAATGGGGCTTCATGAGCCTTCATTACTAGCCTTCATAATCTTCAATCGTCCTCAACAGCCACTAAGAAGGCCTGTAGTTGTCGGGGCCGTTGTGCTGGGGGAGGGTCCGCATGATGAGCCTCTTGATTGAAGGTGCAGCTTGCGGAGGGCATGGACCATGCGCACTGGAAACTTGAGCTGCAGCTTCTCGGACACAAGACAGTGATGCCTGCAGCAAGTGCATTTTGCTTCCTTCCTGGAAGTTATCAGCAACACAGATCACAAATCCTAAGGCGGGCAATGGAGCTGGACCGACAGCTGGCCTTGCAGGAAATCATGGAGTCACAGCAGGAGA